TCGAGAGCGAAATTTGCAAACAACATGGCACGACGGTATGAACGGATCCCAGTGATGACCACTGATGTTGAAACCGAGTGGGAGCTGTTTAAGAGATGCGTGCTCGAGGCTGCCGCCGAACGCTGCGGGTATGAACGGGTTGGCCTGCCGCCTGGACGTCAGAAAAAATCCTCATGGTAGACACGAGAAGTACAACTGGCAGTTAAAAAGAAGAAAGCAGCGTTCAAGAAATGCCTTGGAAAGAAGGAGCCATCTACACGCGTGCGATATATCGAGGCACGCAAGGCGGCAGCCATTGCAGTGGCAAAAGCCATAGCTGATTCCTGGGAGAAGTTCGGTGAGGTGTTGGAGTCGAATTTTCACACGGCAAACGAAATTATTCTGGTAGACAATCGCCGGTTCCAAAGTGAAAAGAAGGTCAGTCTCACAGACTTGAAGGACAGATCTGGACACCCTCTTACCAAGGATGATGACATTCTTTGGCGACGGTGTAAGTACTTTGAGGAACTCCTTATCCCCGCGCAGCCGCAGAAAGACTCCCCTGTGGAACAGAAGGGTACGGATGTTACTATCTCTGTAGACGAATTTACACAAGCTGTGAAAAGCTTTGAAAATGGATAAGCTGCTGGTACTGATGAAATCCGTCCTGAGATGCCAAAGGCGTTAAGCGATCAACGCATGTGCTGGCTTTCACGTGTCTATGAAACTGCGAAGACTGCTGGAAAGACATCAGGGACTGAAGAACGGGAGTTATTGCGCCCGTATTCAAGAAGGGATTCCACTATGAATGCTCCAATTATAGGGGCATAACGTTATTGAGCCTTCCGGGTAAAGTCTATGCAAAGGTGCTAGAAAGGAGGTGCCATGAAATAGCTGACCTCAAGATCCAAGATGAGTAGTATGGCTTCCGGTCACGTCGCAGCACCTCTGATCATATATGTGTCTTGTCCCAGATTGTTGTGAAATTGTGGGAGTACGCCCAGCCGGTGGTCATGTATTTTGTGGACCTAGAGAAAGCGTATGACCGCTTACCACGCAACAGTCTGTGGACATACCTTCTTGCATAGGGATTGATGGCAAGTTGCTGAGGGCCATCCAGTCATTGTATTCTGATAGCAGGTGCTGTGTCAGAGTT